GCTGTGCCATCCCTCCCTTTCACTTCTTAGAATATGTGACATATCCCGAGGTTGGGGCCTCTTTTGATCCCTGAACCAGAGGGAATTTAGCAGGGACCATCAGGAGGCTGAGGGGGCTGTGAGAGTTGGGTTGTTGGCTCCGGAGATGGAAAGGCTCCGGGTGAGTCCACAGCACCTACCTGGGGTTACGGGGAGCGCGGAGACAGGTTCCGCACGGGAAGGAGGGCGGCAGCAGCGGCTCCGACCCGCTCCGAGGAAAAGGTCCTGCCCGGCAAGGCCAGCCAAGCACTGGGGCAGGCCGGGAAGGGGGAATCTCCATCCTGGGAGGTTTAAGATCCGACTGAGCCCTGAGCAACCCGCTCCGAACGCAGTGCTGATCCCGCTCCGAGCGCCCGAGGTCCTTCCTCAACCCGAGCTCTCCAAAGTCCTCGGTCTGGGTTCCAGCGCCCGCTAGCATGACCTAGTCCAACTTGCAATGCCAGGTTGCACCTTCCAGCTCCCCGCCACAACACAGTCACCACCAGGACGGCACCGAAAACACACAGCTCTATTTCCCCCCCCCCAAACACCGTGAAAACACATGACGGCCCCATTCAAAACGGGACAGGCAACACTCCCCAACAGCAAAACGGAGAAGATAACGCAGGGCATTCAGAACAGCTCTTCCCTAAAGCAGCAACTGCTTGTTTTTTTCCCCCAGAAACCTCACGTTATACTGAAACTCCCATTAAGGAACAACCCCCGTATCAAGAGGCCGACAAGAACAAAGGAAAAGCGGCTCCAATCCTCACGGGGTCCATCCTGGCCCTCTCGCCCCGGCGGGCGGTCCTGCTCCCATCGCTCTGCCGCTGCCCCTCGAGCMGGGCTCCCAAAACAAAGGCTGCTTTCCCCCTCGCTTTGGCACCGGGCCGGGCGGGACGGCTCGGCGGTCCCGACTCTCCACCCTTCCCTTTCCACAGCCTCTTCGGGGCCATAAAAAGATGGCAGTTGCCAGCGAACCTGCAAAGCGACGGCGCCAGGGGGGAACTTTGGAGTTCCGCGGCGGCGCCCGCGGCCGGCAAGCGCAGCCGCGGGACGGGCCCGGGGCCTCGCCGGGGACAAGGCCCCGGCTCGGGCAGCGGGGAAGGGGGCGAGGGCCGCGGCCTGGCGAGGCCTCCCCCCTGGGCCTCGGCGCCGCCACCGGGTGCCGCCCCCCTGCGCGGCGGCCGTTACACCCCCGCCAAGCGGCCGTTACCCGCCGGGCCCGCCCCGCTCCCGTTGCTCCCGTTGCTCTCACCTCGGCCGGCGGTGCCGGTGGCGACGCGGCGGCCCCGGCGCTGCTGCAGCCGCCCGCCCGCCCGCCTCGCCGCTCAGCCGCCGCTCGGGGGCCGCATCACCCCGCGTCCGGTCCCCCCCGCCGGAGCAGCCGCACGATCCCCCGGGCAGCAACAGGCGCCGCCGCCGCAAAGGTTCCGCAGGGCGGAGGAAAGGTTCCTCCCTCCTTCCTCCCTCCCCCGCCGCGGCGGCCCGGCCGCGACTCCCCCGGCTCGGTTCTCCCGGACACCGAGGGGCCCCTGGCCCCACACAGCTCCAGCGGGGCGGCCGGGCCGCGCCGAGGCGCCCAGGCCTGCTCCGCGGGCCCCGGGCTGCGGCCGCCATGTCGGGGTGGCGGGGCCGACCGACCCCTCCCCAGTCCCGCTGCTACCCGGGACCCTCTTCCATGGAGGCCCCAAAGAGCTGGGGAGCCCCCTGTCATGAGACACCCCAGCACTTGAACCCCCCAAGGGCCAAAACTTGCCCCTCTCCAAGGCTCCCATTCCCGTCCCTGCTCAAAACCACTCCACATCCCACGCGATGTGCGACCCGCTCCTGTGGCTGACCGTATTCCATATGTTGCTGACCGTATCCCTGCCCCCTCGCTCGCACACCCCCACACAGGCTCCTCCACCATCTGTATCCTCTGCGGGACACGCACCCCATGGCCCCCCCCCCAAAGCCTGCTCCGTAAGAACACAGAAACCGTGTTTAGCGAGTGCCCTTCACTGGATCCCGCTCTAACCCACAGCGGTTATCCCAGTAAAGCCAAGGAGGGAACCTCCTTCCCTGGATCCCGCTGTAGCCCATTCAGTTATCCCAGTAAAGCCAAGGAGGGATCCTCCTTCCTGG